CCACCGGGCCGAGCAGGCCAGCGAGGCCGCTCCTGGTACCGCCGGGGAGAGTCACGACAGCGACGAGACGACTTGCGTTCCTGAGGAGGCGAGGGGGAATGAGGGCGAGACGATCGGCAATCCGGCGACGGAAGACGAGACGGCTGCACTGCAAGGGCCGCCTGCAGTTGAGCAGGTGCCGCCGGTTTCGCGCCAGGAGGAGCAACCACCGGAGCAGGGGAGACAGTGGTGGAGGACACCGCCCTCGGGGAAGAAGAAGACGGCGGCGCAGACACGCCGGGAACAGACACGGCCGGGACAACGACCGCGCCAAGTGCAGGGGCAGGCATTGCAGCAGCCACCCCAGCAGACAGAGAAGCCACCGCTGCCACCACGAGGGCAGGGAGCACGGGAGCCGCAGGCGGAGCAGACGGGCCAGCCGCTGCCACGCCTTGCGGAGCCACGGGTGCGTGGAGAGGAGTCCTTTCAGAGACTGTTGTCCCGGCGTTCGGAGCAGGCGGTAGAGGGGGTTTCGTCGCCGTGGTCCCCTTTTCGAGTCCCGACTGAGGCCTGGCGACAACAGCCGACCAGGCGACAACGCGCTCTGGCGACGGCTCATCAGCTCCGGCAATCACCACCATCTCGGACGCGAGGAGCACGCGGGACGAACCACGTAGCAGGAAGCGGAGTCGGCGGGGGCCCAGAGAACGGATACCAAGCAGCAGCACGTGTGGCTTTAAACAACCTACAATCAGCAGACGAAGACGACGAGAGAATGGACCCCTCTTATAGGAGAGACGCCACGCCGGATAGCGAGGATGAAGGGGAGGAGGAAAGGGACGAGATGAGGGTGAGCTCTGGGAGAAGAGAAGCCGGGGCCAGGATAGCACGAGCACAACCGCTCCAGGAGGCACGCACGCCGCACGATGCTGATCGGACGGTAGAGCCTCCAACATTCGCCTCACCAGCGGGACCGAGTCAGGCCCGGCGAAATCGGGCCGCGAGTAGGGGGGCTGCACCACGACAGGCCGCTTCGGCCCCCCGCTATTTTTCGTCTGAGGAACTGGCGAAGCGAACAGACCTGTTCGCTGCGGTAGGGGATTGGGATGTCGCAGCTTTGAGCGATAGTCGTCAGCCCCCGCTGTCGCGGCGCTTACCGCCAAACCTGTGTCAGCTGTTCTCGCTAGTGTTACTGACGCCGTTACAGCATCTCTCCCGAAACCCGGAGTCGGAAACAGGTTGGCGTCTGTTGCTATTTCTCCCGCGCCTGACCCTTCGCCAAACCTCGCCGCAACGACTGGACTGGCCGAAAGTCAAGGCCCGGCTGCGAGCCTTCCAACGTGGCGAATGGGAGCAACTGTACCTGGACACGATTGCTGCAGTCAACGCGCCACCCCCGCCCCGGCACAGGCCAGACGTGACGGGAGTAATCAAACGGGCCGAAGGGCTGGCGAAACGTGGCAGCCTACGACGAGCCGTTCTTGCATTGGAGTCAACGCCTGTCTGCACGCCCAGCCCCGAAATCTTGGATGAACTGCGCCAGAAGCACCCACCAGCTGTCGACGAAGAGGTGATCTGGTCGACACCGGAGAAGTCAACGATTTCCATCACCCACGCGGATTTCGCTAAGCTGTTGGGCAGGTGCGAAAATGGAGTTGGAGCTGGGCCGTCGGGAATGACATTTGAGCATTTGCGCGACTCGGCGATAACAAATGCGCTGGTCAGCACCCATCTGCACGCCCTGGTTAACACAATTCTGGGAGGCAATTTGCCAGACACGGTGGCGAATTTGTTAACCGCGTCGCGCCTCATTGCCTTGGCCAAACCAGGGGGGGGCGCTCGGCCAATCGCGATTGGCGAATGCCTGACGAGGCTAGCAGCCAAGGCAGCCCTGCTGGCAATGGGGGAAGCAGCTCGCGAATTCTTCCTTCCTCTACAGTACGGCGTGGCAGTGCCAGGTGGCGCCGAGACAGTGATCCACGCGGCCAGGGCTTTCTTGGACGCTCGCCCCGACAGCCTCGTGCTGCAAGCAGACATCAGGAACGCATTCAACAGTATCTCGCGAAAAGCCATCGCCACCGCGTTACAAACCCCCACCCTCTCGCCGCTGCTGCCGCTCGTCAAGTTCACGTACGGTAACCCATCGCAGCTGATCCTAGATGCAACCTTCGATTCCGAACCACTGCGAAGCGAACGCGGTGTTCGCCAGGGGGACCCACTAGGCCCGCTGCTATTTGCAGCTGGAATACATGCCACGCTTTGCGATACGGCGGACACACACCCCGGGGTACTGTGTTTGGCGTATGCGGATGACGTGACGTTCATCGGGGAACAAAGAGACACTGTAGCAGCATTTTCGTACTTCACCGACAAATTGTCACTCCTGGGGCTTGAGCACAACCCACGAAAATGTGCTGCGTGGAGCTCCAGTACGATACAAGCACCGCACTTACCCCCCGGAGTGCCGTTTTCAAACGACGGCGTCCAGCTACTGGGCAGTTTCCTTGGACCGGACGACGACGCCGCTTCTTTTCTGGCGGAGCAGTTGGCTGACATGGCGAAGCCGTTGAGGCTCATCGAACGAACGGATCCCCAGGTCGCATCACTACTTATCACGCGATGCATATCGAGGCGTGTCGCGTACTTGACCCGGACGACGCCCCTGAATCTTCTACCCCGCGACAAATGGAGCCAGTGGGGCATGGACCTCCTCACCACGCTCCTTACCGCCTGCGACATCCGCATGCCGACCAGCCATTCGGAGCAGACGAGGGTTTGGGAGCAAGCGTCACTGCCGCCGTCATTAGGAGGGCTAGGCATCACGAACCCCTTGATTGAGGGGGTCTACGGTTTCGCCGCGAGCTTCACCCAGGCGGCGCTGTTTCTCAACGACCTCACGCTGTGCGATGGGAATGCACTGAAGCAGGCACGGGACCACATGCTCATACCGCGGGATACCAGCACGCGCCTTCACGTTTGGGTGAAGGGGTGCGAGGAAGCGCTGCCGACAGACGCCCGGGAGATACTGGAAAAGGAGCGGTTGGAGCGATCGGACATACGTCTCCAACACGTCCTCGGGCTGCAAGTGCACGGCAGCAGATACGCCCTACAGGTCCAGGCAACCAGGCACATGCGATTGAACCCACTCTCCGGCCACACTCAGCGCATGTTTTCGCTGACGGGGTACGGCACCGGTGATTGGCTGACCGCGATACCTATCGAAGCGACTAGGCGGATGGGCCCCGTCCACTTCGCTAACTCCATCAAATTCCGCCTAGCTCTCCCCTTCTCGACTCCTAAGAATTGTGACTGCGCGGACAAAACGGCTATCACTGACCCCCGTCTGCCGAACCATCTCCTGCGCTGCGGTTTGGGCAAACACCGCATTAACAGTCACAACGAGCTGCGGGATGCATGCATCAGCATGGCGCAGCACGCAGGTTTCATTGTCCACAGCGAGTCGGCCGCTCATTGCCCCATCGAGGAACAAACCGCCGACTTCACCATGACGGATCGTAGCAGTGGGGCGGTATATGTGTGTGATGTCACTATCACGGATCCCATAAGCACGAGGGACCCAGAGGCGCAGAAAGGCAGGGGATGGGCGGCACGGGAACAAGCGGATAAGAAGATCCAGCACTACGCCAACCGGCCGGAGACGGTTGGCTTTTTCCCTCTGGCGGTCGACACCTATGGCTGCCCATGCGCGGAAGTACCCACCTTCCTGAAGCTGTTGGCAGATACGGCGGCTCGGCGGCACTTCAACGCCGACTCAAAATCATACTATGCCGCAAAGTTTCTACATCAGTTTCGACAAAGATGGTCGGTGGCCCTTCAAAGGGCCCAATCTGTGGGCCTCCTGATGAAGATGGGCGAGGCGGCTGCTGCTGAGAACCCACCTGTGGGCGGCATTGGGCAGGAGTTGCACCTTGGAGATTGTTTTGCAGTGATAGAGCCCCTCCTAGACCTTTAGGGGGGGGGGTTTAGGGTAGGATTTGCCTTTGTGTGTATGCCTCTATACCCTGCATGCTTGTACCTGGCGGCCACATCAATACAAGGACCATTAGAGAGAGAGAGAGAGAGAGAGAGAGAGAGAGAGAGAGAGAGAGAGAGAGAGAGAGAGAGAGAGAGAGAGAGAGGATTAGCCTCTCCCCTTCTACCCTCTGCCCTCTGCTTTCTGCCCTCTGCCATGACTACTTAAGGCCACGGCGGCCTCTCCATCTCTCATTCTTTCAGTTAGTGCTGGAACTTTTGGTGTTGTTCGAGAGAGCGAGAGAGAGAGAGGATTAGCCTCTCCCCTTCTACCCTCTGCCCTCTGCTTTCTGCCCTCTACCATGACTACTTAAGGCCACGGCGGCCTCTCCATCTCTCATTCTTTTAGTTAGTGCTGAAAATTTTGGCGCTCCGGCCGCCGGCGCTTGCGTGCGCGGCCTTCGGCCGCGCGTTAGGGATAGCAAGGGGAAACAACAAGCAGTAGTAGCTTAGGCAACCGATACAAACAAAGCAAGCATAGACACTTAGCAAGTAGAGGATGGAAAGGTCTACACGCGCAAAGGGGGAGCGCCTACATGCGGTCCGCCTCTACCGCAGCGAGCATTCCGCTCGTGTTCAACCACAACTGGCGGACCACAGACACGGTGGCGCCTACAACGTCAACAGGAGTACCAAGGCCTGCTACAAGCGTCCTCAGAGCCAGGGCCGCGTCAGCCAGCTGGCTGGCCGAGGTTGCTCCCGGCAAGGGCGCTACCTGCAATGGTGTTACGAGCGTGAATAGCGCTGACGCCGCCGCATGACAATCTGCTCGCGGTTTCTGAGAGAACCTGCTCGGAGGGCTCACCGGCATGGAGTCAAATGACTCCTGGAGAATCCACTCAAGGCTCTGCAGGGAGGCCGCCAGTGACCATAAGCAGGCCAGGGTCGCCGTAGGAACTTCCTTCATGGGCGGAAGTAACGCACATGCGCGGGCACGGTGAGACGACACGGCGAGATCACGTGGAGCAGGAAGACGACGCGGCGGAGCGATGAGAGAGGGACGACGGGAGCAGCGCAAGGAGCTGATGGTGACACCGACCCCGCACGCAAGCGACAAAGCTCCTTCTCCACGTCATCAAGCCTATCTAGAAGACGGCGCTCCATTGCGGACGGCGCTGGACGCGCTTTTCCGCCGCGACTGTCACCCCCCCGTCCCCCACGACGCGCACGCCCACTTGCGCTCGAGCACACAGGCGACTGCGGGTGAGATGGGCCCTGCTGACGCTGGCGGCCAGTTTAACGGTCCCCGCGACGAGGGGAGTAGAGCCGTTGGCGCTCTACAGGAGGGAACGAACGCGGAGCTGGGGGCCGACGCCCAGACCTCTGGCGGGCAGGCGACCGCTGGCGAGATGAACGGTGAGGGGGCGAACGATGACGATGCGAACGGTGGTCACGGGATCGGCTTCGCAACGCCACACGACGAGGCGAATGAGGCGACAGCGGCGAACGGGCCGCACCATGACGATCATCGCGGCGGCTCTCCCGCTTATCGTCGCGAGCTGCCGATGAGCGACGGCGAGGCGAACGCTCCTGGCGCGCCACAGCGTCTGCGCCGAAGCACAAGACAAACCCGCGCGCGGGGGCTACCGCGGTGACAAGGACCTGCCCGCGCGCGGAGCCAACTCGCGCCGCTGGTCCTCGAAGCGGCGGGGGATCTGATCAGCGGACGCCGGCGGAGCAACAGGCACGCTCGCGGCAGGGCGTGCAGGAGGAAGCGGACGAGGAGCAGGATCGCTCTCCGCGGTGCAGTCGCGGCCAAGAGCGCCAAGGAAATCCATTGGCCAACGCTCAAGACGCTCCACTGGCACACGAGGAGCCGACAACGCCAATCTCCCAGGCGCAACAGGCGGAACTTGTGGCAGCTACCCTGCGGAGCGGACGGGGAAGCACGCGGGGGAGAGGCGGGCGACGAGGAGCGCGTGGAGGGCAGAGGAGCATAGGCCAAGCGGGAAGGGGACCGCCCTGCCAGTTGCCGAGCCCAATCTGGTTGGGGGAGCCGGCGGAACGAGTCACGCGCGAGTCATTCGCCAGGCGGGGGGCGAGGGGAGGAACACCAGCGCAAGTGGGGAGAAACCGGGATATCAATACAGAGGGGAGTGGAGACGATTATATACCGTCAAATCTGAGGCAACCAGACAATCCCGCCTCACCTCACGCGGAACAAGGAGAGGGGCAAGCGCAGCAACAGGAGAGAGGAACCGGCCGTAGACATCATCGAAGGGCTCAGCTTCCCTCGGATCAGGCACTATCGGCGTCCCAGCTGGCCTCGCGGGAGAATCTTTTCCAGATCGCGATGACTTGGGACCTTACACTCCTAACCTCCACCACCCACCTACCAATCGTCCGCCGACTGCTGCCGCAGATCCTCAGGGACTACTCCACCTGTATGTTGGCTGCCCTACTTCGGATCTCCAAGCTGCCTAACTGCGCAGGAGCATGGCGGGTCCTCATGTTCCTGCCACGTCTTACGCTAAGACTTAGCCGGAGATCCAGCTCTAGATGGAAACTGCTGCGGGAACATATGCATCTATTTTCGATGTGGCCACTAGACCCAGCTGTACACTGACTACTTGGGGTCAATGCACCTGGCCGAACCACCTCAGCACCAACATGACCCACTGGGAATCTGCTCACGTGTGGAGGGGTTGGTGAAACGGGGTAACCTGCGAAAGGCGTTAGCAGCCCTACAACCCTTGCCTTCAGCACTTGCGACAATTGCGACACTACAACAGCTGGAATCAAAACACCCCCAACCCCAAAATGACCTGCCCGAGTGGGTGCATTCCTACACCACACCCACGCAATTCTCAACCACTCTGGAACACTTTTCCGACATCCTTGAAGAATGCTCCAGGGGAATTGGGGCTGGCCCATCGGGGTCAACTTTCAAACACTACCGCGATCCAGCGCTAAGTAACATCGAGGTACTAGGGCACCTCCACCCCGCCGTTACACATCTTCTCTCGACAAATCTTTCCACTGAAGTCGCAGCACTACTTGCCCCGTCCCGCCTTATAGCCTTCGCCAAACCAGGGGGGGAGGTACGTCCCATTGCGATTGGAGAGTCATTGCTTAGGTTGGCGGCGAAGGTTGCGCTCTCAGATCTGCAAGGAGAAACGCGAATTTTTTTCCTACCTCAGCAATTTGGTGTGGCAGTCCCTTGAGGTGCAGAATTTGTCATCCATGCTGTCCGAGACCTCACCATGGTGCAGCCCTCCAGCCTAGTACTCCAGCTTGACATTGAGAACGCGTTCAGCTCAGTAGAGAGGAGCGCGTTCTTCAACGCATTCATCGGCTCCCCACTAGCTCCCCTAATCCCCTTCACACGCTCTTTCTACGCAGCATCTTCACCACTGCTGCTAGACCCATGCTTCAATTCCATGACACTCACCAGCGGGAGGGGAGTCATACAGGGGGATCCCCTCGGACCTCTGTTATTCGCAGCGTCTATCCAGTAGCACCTCAGACACGTAGCAACGGAGCACCCCGAAGTCACGGTCCTCGCTTACGCGGACGACATAACCATGATTGGACCCGCGGCGGCGATGCTGGAAGCGTTCAGGGAGCTCACCCCACTGGGGTCGCAGAGCTTCTGCTCTGATTTTGTCCGCAGCACCCTGACAGATGCAGCAGCCCCCTTGGGCTCTCTGGCGTCCATCCACCCACAACACGCCCTCCTGCTAGTGTCTCGTTGCATCAGCCGCAGAGTCAGCTACCTGCTGCGCACTACCCCAGCTGACGTCTTACCGCTCTCGGAACGGCACACATGGTGCGCCGAATTAGTGAACATTGCCTTGACCGCCGCCAGCATTCAACCCCCACGCCGACAAGCCGAATTCAACTTCCTTCTCCGACAGGCAACTCTCCTAGTAGCCCTAGGCGGACTGGGCCTTACGGACCCCACAACTAAAGCAGCACCAGCCTACCTGGCATCTACAACACAGGCGCTGCGCCTGCTCCGCTCCCTGGACTTACCGGCAATCGCGCCGCTAGGGGCCGACAACAACTCCCTGCAGCCGTCTGCAGCGCACTCCGTGACCATCCAGGACATGGAGGGGCGGCTGCCACCGCTGGCGCTACAAAACCTACGGGAGGAGCAGCAAACCCCGTCCCAGGACCAACTGCAGTGTGCCCTCTCCCAGGAAGTGCACGCGGCAAAGGCCGACGCCCTAAGAGAGGAGTCACGCGCAATACAGTCAGCCCCCGAGATGGGCCACACACTCCGCCTAGTCAGCATGAGAGGAGAGGGAGAGGGAGCGTGGCTGCAGGCACTACCCTTGACCCCGGACCTCTGCTTCTCACCAAGATAGTTCCGAGCGGCCCTGGCCTTTCGCATGGGCATCTGACAAAATGTACCAACCGTGTGCGAGTGCAGAGAACTCGTGGCCGACTGCAGCCTACCCAACCACTTACTCCACTGCAGCACAGGCCCCGACAGGACGCGCACACACAACCAGCTGGCCTTCGCCATGGCTAAAATGGCGAGGGAGGCGCAGCTGGTGGTATACCTGGAGAATGGGATGTACTCACCTCCGGATGACCCGAAGAAGGCAGATGTGATTGTACAAGACCCGGACAGCGGAGAGACCTGGATCACAAACACCACGATCACTGACCTTGTGCTGCAGAACCGAGACCCCACGGCCCGCAAACCTCCAGGTTGGGCTGCAAGGGAGGCACCGAAGCGGAAGGAGAGGGACTACTACCGACACACTGAACACGTGGTGTTCTATGCCCTGGCTGTCGAGACCTATGGGGCAAACACGCCCCCCACGACGGCGTTCCTGAAACTGCTGGCCACAGCAGCAGCTAGGAACCGCTTCAGGGCCAGCCCCTTGGCAAAATCTGCCAAGAAGATGGCCTGCCACTTCAGCCAGCGCTGGTCAGTGGCCCTCCACCGCTCCCAGGCAAACGCCCTGCACACCAAGGCCAAGGCTGGGATTGAGGCAGCACACCCCCAGATGGCAGCGGACCCCTGGCCGCTGCATCTGGGGGACATCCTACACACGTTGGAGGGCTAGAGGGTCACTCAGGGGGGAGGGGAGGGGAAGAGGGATGAGTTGATGGGCTTATGGGATAGAGGTTATCATGGAAATAACTGCATGTCTGTACCCCTGCTGAATTAATACAACGGACCATTTGAGAGAGAGAGAGAGAGAGAGAGAGAGAGAGAGAGAGAGAGAGAGAGAGAGAGAGAGAGAGAGAGAGAGAGAGAGAGAGGTACCGATGGGGCACAGGTAAGTCCCCAAAAGGACATCGGCCTACTAGGCTACCGGGACATACGGCACAGGTAAGTCCCTAGAATGGGGAGGAAGAAGCACCAGCCGGCGACAAAAGGTGGAGTGGCCACTACATCAGCCTCACCCGCCTCCCAACCCACTGGAGCAAAGACGCGATTGCAGGGACGAGATCCAGCGGCGACTCTTCAGCCGTCGTGGATACCCTGCGGAAAGCCAAGGCGACAGGACCATCATCAAGCTCAGCATCTTCTGGCTCTAGCGGCAGGTGGAGCAGTTCCCACATCGCCTCTGACAATGCCCCTCAGACAAGCCCCTGCTGAACTTCATCAAACTGAGGGTCACGGGCGACGAGCATCCGACTCTGCACGGCGAGGTGATACTGCTCAAGCACCGTCGCAAGGCGCATCACAAAGCAGCCAATCTGAGACATGCGCTCCCCACGCTCAAGATACTCGGCTTCACCCGGGGGTCCATTCTACCCGCGCCCCCACCCAGGCTCGCGGGGATAATGCGGCCAGCCCATGTTCCACCACTCCAACTGCGGATCTCGGGCAGTCCCGGGCGTCTCAAACTCGTCCCAACCGCGGTGGCGCTCGTTTGGCTGAGACGACACCTGGACAAGAGGCACAACAAGGAGTCAGACAAGGGAAAGTGGATCATCACCACGGACAGAGGGAGAGCACGCAAGGAAAGTCAACAGCGAGGAAAGCTGGGTCAACACGAGGGAAAGAGTCAAGCGTGGGGGCACTTCCGCCGGTGACGGAGGAATGAGACTCACCACACCCCAGAAAGCACCGGCAGGACGGGGACAGGAAACAAGGGGATGGTGACGCTGAGGCTGCTGGACAGGAGGAGCGGTTGGGAGCGGAGGGTGCGCTGGCAAAACCGACGGCGGTAGAGGAGGTGCAGGAGGAAGGACAGGCGTCAGCTGTATCTGAAGGGAGGCGAGCACAGGCTGAGCCAGCGCTTGCGGTGGCTGAGGCGCCAGGGGAGGAGCTTACGGTGGAGGAGGCGCCGCCGGCGCTGGCAGCGGCGGAGGAACCTGCCGAGGGGGGGGAAATGGCCTCGGCCGCCAATGCTGATGGCGGGGATGCCGGGGATGACGGAAGGGCTGACCCCGCGGGCGAAGGTAGTACGGCGTTCGACCAGGTGGCGGGTGATACACGGGGCTTCGGGATTCCGGGGAGGAACGCCGACCACGCCCCGATCCGCCGCTCGATTCGAATTCAACCAAGTCCGCGGTGGCTCGGAGCAGGGCTGGCACCTGGCCTCCCTGGCCCCCTTCGGGGGTGGGAGTGCCAGACCTACACACCACGACCTCACAGCGAGGGGCCTTCACGGCCTTACCCGTCATCGGCGGAAGCGGAGGAGGAGGGAGCGGCCGAGCTGCCAGCAGAGGAGGAAGTTTTGCGGCTGCTACAAGTGCGGCAGGAGGGCGCGAGGAAGGGCACGAGGCCGAGCTCGGGGGCGCACAGGGGCGCGGGGATGGGGGGAACGGGGAGTGGCAGTCAACGCGCGGGAACGAATCAGATCCGGACCATGGCGGGAAAGGCACGGGAGGCCAGAGTGGTGCCAGAGGAGGGGATTGCTAATAGGCCAGCCACTGCTAACAACGACGAGGAGGAGGCCTATGTGGCATCGGAGGAAGGAGAATTGGAAGAGGTCTCACCGGAAGATGAGCCTAGGGTGGCTAACCACCACGGGAACGCCCGATCTGGGGGATCACGAAGGGGAGGAAATTGGAGGGCATGAGGAGAGCAACAACACAGGGATGCACCAAACGTGGCCCCAATAGGCCAACCTGCTGGCGCAGAAATGAGAGACTTGCGCTCACCCAAAGTGATAGCTAGGGATGAGAACATCTGGCGACAGGTGGCAGACTGGGAGGTGGACTGCCTGCGAAGCAGTGAACAACCCTTTATGGCAAGGAGAATGCTGGAGTGGTGGATTCATTTGCGGCGTGCCTCGTCATCCCGCTCCAGCGACTGAAGAGAAATCCTACATGCCCAGGAGCTTGGAGGGCACTCCTCTTTTTGCCACGGTTGACACTCCGCGCCGACATTGACCCCAACTGCGCAAACCACTGGCAAGAGATCGAGGGCAGACTGTAACAGTTCCGACTAGAAAAATGGGAGCTACTGTTCATGCACGCCAAAACCGTACCATAAGACCCCAAACCGGCCAGACACCAGCCAGACCCCGAGGGACTTCGAGCGAGAGCTGAAGGACTGGTACAGAAAGCTGTTGGATGCATGTTATTCTGAGTGCATGTCATCCTAACGTCTTGCCGAGTGCTCGTCCTATTTGTGCTTGCATGATTTGCATGAGCGTATGTCATTGTGCATGGCTGTTGGATATTATCATCTCTGTGTTTTTCTCCAAGTCTAAATGCTTGATCATGCAAGAGAACGACACCAAGATCGTCTTATTCCGGCCAAGATCGCCCAAGTTACAAGATTTCCAAGATTTGGATTTCTTATCTCCTTTTGGGGTTATATCTAATTTGGGTGACTACTTGGACATGACTATAAAGGGATCTTTGGTTGGGTGGTTAGGAAGGCAACTTTGACTTTTGGATTGGGGTGGCTAGAAGTTTCTAGCATGGGTTGCAAATGTTGCAACACCTAGGCAAAAATCCAACTAGATTGGATTTTGCATGTGACACCTCAAGGACCTCATGATGAGGGTTGCATCCTTGCTGTTGGGAAGGTTCCTACCATCCTTCCCTAGCTCTTGGAGAACCCCTTCTCTCTCATGGTTCTCTTGGAGTCCTCAACTCCAACTTTCTATGCCCTAATGCTTGTACTTCCTCCACCATTCTAGTCATGCGGCTGCTGGACGTTTTTACTTGGTTCTCACTCTATAGACCATCTTAACGACTGATTCAACTTGGAGATGGTAGCTAAGCCTAAGGCGCAACTTCCTACTGAGCGGATTTGCGTTTAGTCGAGTAATGAGTTCGTCCTAAGCTCTCAAATGGACGGATCCTGAACAACAAGAGCAAATCTCACAAAAGCAGTTGCAGCAATACAGTCCTCCCCCCTTGTGGAAGCATCGGCGACTACACTTGAGGCACTCCGCGCAAAACACCCGGAGGCATCAACTGTCATACCAGGCTGGGTAACCGGGTTCAGGGCATCAACCCTCGCCACAACAGCCGACAAGCTACATGACGTATTGGCTAAATGCCCGAATGGCATCGGCGCAGGCCCTTCCGGAACCTGCTTTGAGCATCTTCGCGAACCAGCGCTATCAAATGGGGAAGTGCTCAAACTCCTGCTAGAAGTCCTCAACAATCTGCTTGGCAACGAGCAACCAGAGAGTATTTGCGAACTCTTGCTGCCGTCCCGACTAATCGCCCTGGAGAAGCCCGATGGAGGTGTGCGGCCGATAGCTATAGGAGGAGCACTGGTTCGACTAACAGCCAAGATCGCACTACGAGAGTTGACGCCACAGATTCGGAAATACTTCTTACTAGTGAGGTTCAGAGTCTCGGTCTTAGGAGGAGCGGAGTGTATTATTCACTTGACGCGAGCACTACTTAAGGATGACCCCGACCGAGTCGCGCTGCAATTGGATATCGAGAACGCTTTCAACTCGGTAGAGCGCCAGAGTTTCTTCACATCGCTCAGATGGTCGGGACTACACCCCATGGTCCCCTTCATGCGCATGCTGTACGAAAGCCCCTCCCGACTGCTTCTAAATGAGGGGTTTTCCTCAAACCACATTGAGAGCACAAGGGGAGTGAGACAGGGTGACCCGTTGGGACCGACACTTTTTGCGACAGCTATACAACCGGCGCTACTTAAAGCCGCGGATAAATTCCCATCGGTGGTGGTGATGGCATACGCAGACGATATCACTCTGGTAGGAGACCCTAAGTCGGCGGGACGAGCGATGTTGCTAAATCACCAATGAACTACGCACCTCTGGGCTACGATGCAACCTGGCAAAATCCTCGGCATGGAGCCCGGCGGGTGCGCTTGACAATCTACTAGATGGACTCGTAGCGGCAGTGGACGGCATCAAAGTCCTAGGGAGCGCCATTGGATCGGCGGCCTTTGGGAGGAACTTCGTACGGACAGCGCTGGAGAAGATTGCCGCACCCTTGGACCTAATCAGTGGACTTCACCCGCAGCACGCCATGCTCCTGCTCTCCCGCTGCATCTCGAGGAGAGCGTCGTACCTACTCCGCACAACACCAGCAAACCTCATCTCGCGGGCGGAATGGCGCAATTGGGGTGAGCGAGTACTCCAGACGGTCCTCAGAGCGACACACCTCTACCTTCCAGCAGACGAGATGGAGCAGAGCCTCCTATGGCGCCACGCGACACTACCTTTGGCCCTGGGGGGGCTGGGCCTGATAGACCCGCTCTCTAAAGCCCGAGCAGCGTACTTCGCATCTCTGACGGTGGCCCACGCACTCCTACGGCAACTCCTTCCGGCGCCTGAAAACCCCATGATTACCACGGCACGGCTCGTGTCACCAGAGCCAAGGGAGCAAAGGACCAACGGGGAAGACATTCGAAGGGACATGTGGGCTCGCCTGCCAGCATCAGCTCGAGCGGCACTTTAGGCATACTCGGAGAGAGATGGCGGGAAGGGACACCTGCAGCTGATACTGTCACGACACATCAATGCGGAGTGAGTGGCGGAACTGCTAGGCGAAACACGGGTAGACAAACCGGGCGCGGACAGTGGCCATCTCCTACGCCTACTAAGCCTCCAAGGAGCTGGCGTGAGGGATTGGCTGCATGCCATACCAACGCGGGCGGACCTTACCTTCTCCCTAGGGCAGTTCGCGCTCGCAATTGGCCTCCGCCTCAGACACACACTGGCAGTGACGGACAACTGCCCTTGCCGAGGGAGGAGGGCGAAGATAGGGGACAGAAGCCTCCCAAACCACTTGCTGAGGTGCGCAGAAGGGGGAGACCGCACAACAACGCATAACGCACTGGTGTACTCAACCCTCCGCATGGCAAGGGAAGCGGATTTCCTTACCTTGCACGAATCGGCCATTTTCAGCCCCATAACCAACCAAAAACGTGCGGACTAGATCATTTGTGACAAGGAGTCAGGAGAAACCTTCGTGGTGGATGTGACCATGACTGATCCAGTGCTACAACGTCGAGACAAGCGAGCAGTGAAGCCGTCGGGATGGGCTGCAGAGGAGGCACCAAGGACAAAGCACGGCATGTACACCGGAAGGCCGGGGTGGGTGGGATGCTTTGGCATGGCAAAAGATACACTGCGGTTCTTCAGGCTCCTGGGCACGTCAGGAGCCGAGAAGAAGTATAGATAGGGGAGGTCAACCACAGTTGCCTCTAGGATCACCGCCCACTATCACCAGCGTTGGTCAGTGCTCCTCCAGCGCTGCCAAGCCAACGCCCTGCTCGCCAAGTCGAATAGGGCAGCGGAGGCAGCATTCCCACAGGCCCCCTCTGACCTGTTGGAGCCACAGCTGGGGGACCTATGGTAGGTCCTGGAAGATGGGTATGTCCAGGACTGGAGCTGGGAGGAGTAAAAGGCAGGGGAGGCCGACAAGGTGGCAACAATAGCCCGCAGCCAAGAGGATGGCTCTACGAGGGGGCATAGGGGGCTTGGTTGCATGCTAGCGGGCCTAATACCTAGACTACATGCTTGAATGCCAAACTAGACTCTCTTGCATGCCTAGAGCTTGCTTGCTAGAATCTTGCATATGCCTTGTCTGTACCCCTTAAACAAATCAATGAAGGACCGCTTGAGAGAGAGAGAGAAAACGACCTTGGAGAGAGTGAGGGAGAGAGGACTTAGCCTCTGCCCTCTTCCCTCAGCCCGCTTCCCCTTAGTCCCCTAGCTATATAAAGGCCCCACGAGCCTTCATTCTCTCATCAATTCATTGTGTGGCCAGAAAAACGGCCACAAGGTTCCCCTAAACCCTAAACCCTTTGGCCGCCGACGCTTGCGTGCGCGGCCTACAGCCGCGCGTTAGGGACGGCAAGGACAACAAAACGCCTGCACAACATTATAGCGAGGAATACACGCAGGTCAATCGTTAGCATCAACTAGGGCGGGACAATGCAGCGAATCTACGCGTGTAGGATCTTAGAGACTACATCTAATCCGCCTCTAGGGCGGCAAGGATCCCCGTCAGGGTCCTCCACAAGGGGCGGAACACCATTGCACTTGCAGCGATCACTTTGGCTCCGTTCCCAGCGCGCAGGTGCAACCTCAGAACCCGAACGGCTTCCTCAACATGTCCGACCGTTGCGCCACCCCACGCGGGCGCTACCAACACGGGCGCCACAAGCATGGCAAGCTGCCTAGCTGCAGCCAAACAATCAGCTCTTGGGTCCGGATGGAGAGTGCTCTCTCGGGTCGCCTTGATGGACGCATGGGCATTCACCTGAATCAGTAGCAAGGCCCGCAAGCACTCCGCCAAGCGCCACATCTGCCCAAGGGTCGTCGTGGGCACTAGAACCTGCCGAGGGAAGGACCCCTTGGGGGCAGATTTCAAAGGGGAGCAAGATCAGCAGGAACATAATCAGCAATGCGGCGCGGGGGGACAAATTCCATACCAACAACAAGAGGGACCCACGGGAGCACAGAGTAGGATGCGCTGCCACCCACTCCAAGGGGAGCGCAAACGCAGGCGGAGCAGTGGGCGGAGGCGCGAAAACCCGCTCGACAAGAGGCGCGTGGACAGACGCGGCAGGTGGCTGGGGCTGTGAGCCAATTTGGCTCGACGGTTGCAGATCTCATTACAGCAGCAA